GTCCAAACCACTGCCCATTCCAAGAGCGTGGCCACACTGTTTCTGCCCCTAAACTCCTCAAGGCAATGACTCTATGCTGACTCCCTTTTTGGATTCGGCCTACTCACACCCAACTGAAACAGCCCCATTGCTCACAGAAAGCCTGCCTGGCTGGGCTCTTTGTACTCTGCTGTGCCTTCAATACATCTGGTGCTGAGACCTGGGATAGGGCAACTCTCTCTAGAGGGCTTTCAAGCTCTGCCTTGCACCTTTGTCCTGATGAGGCCACCATGTGATATCAGCTCCTCAGAGCACATTCCAGGCAGTCCCTTTCGGCTGCTTCAGATCCGCCTGACTCCTTCAGTTTTATGTCACTAACCTCTCCATATATGAGGTCTCAACAAAGCCCATACACAGCCCCAAGCCACTGATACTATTCTGATTTTCCAAGCCCCTGTCTGCATTCAGCATAATCTGTCCTCTGGCATACCACTAGGACATCTATTCCCCCATCAATGTAACTATATATGACTATATACAGCTTCAGCCAACCATGCCAATTACCAAGTTGCCCAGAATTCCCCATTCACTGAACCTGTCTGCTTTTCTAGCACTCCTGAGGTTGCAACAACATCACTGCTCAATAAACAGGTTTCTGTAACAACTGTCACTTCCCATGTAGGACCATACATCCATGGACCCCTTGTCACCAATCTCCCACTTGCTCAAAATGGCTTCTCTTGTCTACCTTTAAACCACTCCTCTCAGTGGCTTTTAATAGATATCAAAAGATTGTTTCTCTAGGGCCGGGGATTTAGCTCAGTGGTTTTGTCACCTGCTGTGCAAGCACAAGGACTCGAGTTCAATCCCTGGTACCAAAAACAAAAACAAAAAAAAAGATTCTTCCTCCAAAGGGAGGACAAAACACTAAATGATAGATATATCTTCCTCCAGGGGCTCTTCCAGACTAATGGGCACTGCCTTGTCAGGTGCTCTGGGTGTCTGGGAAAAAGAGAACCAAAAACCACACCTTAGTGTAGGGAACAGGGGAAGGGGACGTTACCAGAACTTCTGCAGTGAGTTCTGGTCTCCTGTGAGCTACGGCAGCACACGGCGAATTACAGAAAAGGTAGACAAATGAGACTGAGAAGAAGCTGAGCTTTGGGTCTGATCAGTGCTGCTCTCTCTGGGCAGCAAAGACCAAAGCCCCCAGCCCACCACACCTTTTATTCATTACCTCGTAACAAATGATTTGCAGAGAATTCAGTACATCCGGAGAAACAAATGCAACAAATGACTTACAGAGAGTTCAATAGTTCACATTGGGATAAACAAGGTGTAACAAAAAGCTTGCAGAGAGTTCAGTACATCTTCAGTAAACAAGATGTTAACAGTCCAAGAACAATGAGGAACGGAGCAGATGTTTGTTCTCCCAGGATGTTTCTTGCCCTGGAGAATCACAGCACCACTGGGTCACCGAAGTCTCAGCTGTGACCGGAGGCCAAACCGAAGTCATTCTGTAGCTGGGCTGTAGGCAAGAGAACCAGGCCAACCAAATAACTTTTCCCTAGAACTATGTAACATTGCTCCCAACACCTTAACATCCATAACCAATTCTGCTTACCCAGCCAAGCTGTGTTTTTCCTTTGTGAGACATCCACCTATTTGTGCCTGCCCACTAACTGGACCAGCACCTGCAGGCTGACATACATCAGCTCCAAAATAGACAGTGCTCCAGGAAACCAGAGCCTGTCACCATCAAAACCCAAATCCAATAACCTAGGCCCCTACAACGAAGTCCCTGCTTGACAGTCTGGTTATTACCACTGCCATGGGGACAGGCATAGCAGGTCTTCCTACCTCCCTATCCCAGGATCTCTCTTACAACCTCAAAGAAATAGCTGGCTCCATTCTTACCTTACAGAACCAGATAGACTCCCTGCCAGCAGTAACTCTCCAAAATCATAGAGGTCTAGATCTTCTCACTGCTGAAAAAGGCAGCCTGTCCATCTTTCAGGAAGAGTGCTGCTTCTATATCAACTAGTCAGCTATAGTCCGAAATGCAGCAAAAAGGGTAACTGAAAAGGCCTTAGAAATTAGGCAATATATCTCTGACTCTTGGACTGGTATTTGGAGCGGGCTGGACTTCATGGCTCCTTCTGTCAACTGGGTCTCTTGTCTGTATTCTTCTCTTTCACTTTGGGCCATTCCTCCTCAAGTTTCTCTCAGAATTCCTACAAAATCAAGTTCAGGCTATCACCAATCAGTCAATATGACAGATGCTTGCCCTGACCCCCCCACCCCCCCATATTCCCAACCTCTAAGAACCCTCGATTGATTAAGATGTCCATGCTGGCTCTTGTTAACATTGCTGCCTTGTGTGTGCCATGTTGTTTCTGCTCTGCCATGCACTTGTTTTCCCTGCCTTGGAGTTGGCTGATTATAGACTGAAACCTTTACAAACTGTAAACCAGATAAACCTCTTCCTTTTTAACTTTAGGTTTCTGGTGTTTTGTCTCAGCAATGAGAGAAGTAACACAGAAATTTGGTACCAGAGAAGTGGGGTCATTGCTGTGACATTACCTGGCCATGTGGCTCAAAACCTTTTGGAACGGCTTATGGGAAGAAGAGTTAGGAAAGATCCAGAGATGTTGGCTACAGAACCAGGTCTGGAATGCCTTAGGTGGTTCTGTATGGGAACTTCTGGTCAGAGCTCAGAAGACCAGAAAGCTGATAGAGACTAGGCTCAGGAGATTTCTGCTGGGAAGAAAGACTGTGTTGGCTGCTGGACTCCAGAAGATGTTTGTTACGACTTGGCAGAAAGTTTATCTGCATTTTGTTCATGTCCAGAGACTTTGCCTGAGACTGAGATTAAGGGTGGTAGACTAGTTAATCTTGCAGAAGAAATTTCAAGGCAGTTGAATATTGAGGCAGTGGTATGGCTGGTGATGAGGGCTTTTAGCCAGATCTACATTTAGAATCAAGAGCAAAGAGCCCAGCAGAATGATTTAAAACATTTTGAGTTGGGCCAGAAAGGAACCTCCAGTAAAGCTGTGGACTGCAAAGATAAAGCAGAGCAGATCTTGATTACTGAGAAGGAATAGGAAAATAGAAAAGATGGCTTGAGAGCATCATAGGAAGCAGCAGGTCTCCACACTTTGCATCCTCAGAGTTGCAAAGGTGAAGGAATTTGCATTGAGAAAAAAGCCTTAAAGAACTAGGTTCCAAAATGGTGACAGCCGCACCTTGTTCCAGAATGGTGGCAGCCTAGGGAAGTTGTTCCAAAATGGCGGCAGCATAGAGAATTTGTTCCTTGGGATCGGGCTCAGAGTGCTCAGCAATCCAGGCACTCAACCCCTACAGCCAAGAGAGATGGAACACTGGCCACTACTGCTCCAGCTGGCAGCAGATCTTTGTATCATCCACATGGCACTCATTTTAGGCACATGCAGAATGTAAGAGTTGTGGGATCAGGAAGGCTTCCACCCAGATTTCAGAAGAAGGACTGGGAGGCCAGGCAGTGTTCCCCTGGGAGGTCAATGTGTGAAGCTGTGAGTATGAAGCCAAAGGTGCATTGGAGACCCCAGAAGTTTGGAGAAGCCAGGAGCATGGATTGTCTGAGGAAAGCTGCAAGGAGGGAGCAGAGCAAGCCCAAGAGAGAAGCCATGGGAGCTACAACCACCAAAAGCACTGTAGGGACAGAGCCACCCCAAGCCCTTTGGAGTTCACAACTTGCCACAGATTGCTGGGGATGCTGGAAATGGAACCATGGGATTTAATGTTTCCCTTACTAGAATTTGGACTTTGGTCCCTTTCCTTTGTATCCTCCTGTTTGTACCTTTTGGAATGGAAATGTCTATCTTGTGCCATTGAATGTTGGAATTGTTTGACTTTCTTTTCATTTGTACAGGGGCCTGCAGTTAAGAGTATGCTTTAAATCTCAGAGGAGACTTTGGAGCTGGACTTTTCAGCAATGCTAAAATGGTTAGGACTTTGGCAACTCTTAGAGATGGACTAAATGCCTTTTGTGGAAAGTAATGTGCATGAGTTTTTGGGGGACCAGGGGCGGAATGTTATGGTTTGGGTCTAGATGTCCCCCCAAAGCCTTATGTGGTCATAGGTTTGATCTAGAGTGTATGAACTGGAATTCATTCATGATGCAATGCTAGGCTCAAGGGCACTAGGGTTAAAGGTGTGAGTGCTACCTGCCCTAAGTAGTCTGAATAAAAGGGGCAGGGAGACACTGTTAACTCACTTGTTACCATTGCTGCCTTTTGTGTGCCATGTTGTTTCTGCTCTACCATACCTGTTTTTTGTCCCTGCCTTGGAGTTGGCTGATTATGGTCTGAAACCTCTATAAACTGTAAGCCAAATAAACCCCTTCCCTTTAAAAAAAAAAAAAGTCCAAGCTGCCCTCATGTCCCACATGAAGCAGCTATGAGAAATAGCATCCACCTCCCAATACTCTCTTTGTTTTGTTTTTGTTTTTGTTTTTTTGGTACTGGGGATTGAACTCAGGTCCTTGTGCTTGTGCAGCAGGTGGCGAAACCACTGAGCTAAATCCCCAGCCCTACTCTGTTTTTTTATAACAATAAAGAGACAGGAATGTCAGGTCCAGTGGGTAAGGCCATTGCAGAGCACCACAAGTATCTTAGCCTTTCAGCCTCAGTTCCAGGAAGTCCAAATATAGCTGTACTACCCTTGATTCCTGAAATTCCAAACTGCTGCCCATTCTGAGGATAATGACCACACTATCTCTGCCCTCACACTTCTCAAGGCAGTAACTCTTCAGGCCAATGCCTGCCAACCACTTCCCCTTTAAATCTTTGCCTCCCTCCCATATGGACTCCCTTTTTGGATTTAGCCTCCTCACACCCAAGTGTGAGCCTTGTTTACAGAGCCTGCCTGGGTGGTCGGTCTGCTCTCTGTGCCTTTGATACATATTTTATGCTAGATTTTTTTAAAATTGTGACTTTAGAGAACCTTCAAGTTTAATTTTAGTTTTTGTATTTTTATTGCAGAATTTTACTACTTTTGAATGCTGTTGTTATCTACGGCCATACCACCCTGAATGTGCCCAATCTCGTCTGACCTCAGAAGCTAAGCAGAGTTGCCCTGGTTAGTACTTGGATGGATGCTACTGTTGATATGGAGAAGATTGAGGAACACATCACTAATCTGCATATTGTTAAATGTTCCTCAGAACCTAAAGAACCCACTTACTTACTTGGAATAGACACATCAAAGACTGTACAAGCAGAAAAAGGAAGCTTGGTTGCTGTTTTATGTTCTAATGCCTCAATAAGAATATATGATAAAGAAACATTAAATGTGCTACAAGAAGTTAGTGGACATCCTGGACTTCTTAATGGAGTCAAATTTTCAAATTCCTGTGACAGTGTATATTCAGCAAGTACCGATGGCACTGTAAAACGGTGGGATGCCCGATTAGCCCGTAAAAAGCCTGTTCAGTTGTTCAAGGGTTACCCTTCCAATATTTTTATTAGTTTTGATATCAGCTGTAATGATCATGTCATTTGTGGTGGTACAGAAAAAGTTGATGATGATGCATTGTTGGTATTTTGGGATGCAAGAGTTAATTCTGAGGCTTTGTCCACTACTAGAGACCCACTTGGTACATACTCAGAGACACACAGTGATGACATCACACAAGTGTGTTTCCATCCCAGCAATCCCAACATGATCGTCACAGGTTCCACTGATGGCCTGGTAAATGTGTTTGATATTAGTGCTAATGATGAAGAGCAAGCACTGGTTACAACATGTAACTCAGCTTCCTCAGTGAGCTGCATTGGTTGGTCTGGGAGAGATTATAAACAGATTTATTGCATGACACATGATGAAGGATTTTGTTGGTGGGATCTTAATCATTTGGATACTGAGGAACCAATTACACGTTTGAACATCCAGAATGTCAGAGAAATAATTAACATGAAGGAAGATCAGTTGGACTATTTGATTGGAGGTTTATATCATGAAAAGATGGACAAATTGTTTGTTATTGGAGGAACACACACAGGAAGGATTCATTTAATGACCTGTACTTCGTCAGGACTAACCCCTATGACCACCCTTAAGAGAGGGCATGCTGCCACAGTTCGTTCTTTCTGTTGGGATGTGCAGGATGATTCTTTGCTGACTGGGGGAGAAGATGCACGCTTGGTACTTTGGAAATCTGGAGCTATAGAGAACACTTTGAAAGATAGTGTGAAAAGAGTGTTCTCCAAGTACCAGCAAGTACCCATTGATAGAAACAACTCTTACAAGAGAAGGAAAAAACAGTGATGTTATACAGTATTAGAAGTTTACTTCAGAGGCTTTATAATCTCAAGTAAGTTTTCTGGTGTACTACCTCTGGTAGACATGTTTAAAGGTTGTAGGTTAAAACAAGTTAGCTAACAGTTCTGAGCAAATTTTAAAAATTGTTTAATTCAGATCTGTATGTGTTTTTTTTTAAGATAGGGTCTCACTGACCTTGAACTCAGTATGCAGTCCAGGCTAGCCTCAAACTCATGACCATCCTCTTGCCTCACCCTCCCAAGCACTGAGATTACAGGAGTGCGCCATCACACCCAGCATCTAAAATATTTTTTAAAACTCTCAGTCGAGTATAAAAACTAGTGAATTGAGACCGGGAATATAGCTCAGTGGTTTCACCCCCTGCTGCACAAATGCAAGGACCTAAGTTTGGTCCCTGGTACCAAAAAAAAAAAAACCTAGTGAATCGAAAGTAAAACTAAATGCCTTATTTTTTAAGCCCATGTATTCAGATACAAAATGTTGAGTGTAGAGAAACAGCTCTGAGGGCCGGGGATTTAACTCAGTGGTTCTGGTGCCTGCCTTACAAGTGCAAGGTCCCGAGTTTGATCGCGGTACCAAAAAGACCCACAAAAACCAAAGAATAAGAAATAGCTCTGATAAGGATTCTTTAGAAGTAGAGATAGTAAAATTTGGGTTTTTCTTTTAAGCTCTAAGGTATCTTCATCCTTTCTTTTTTTGGCACTGGGGATTAAACTCGACCTTGCACTTGCAAGGCAGGTAGCATCACTGAGCTAAATCCCCACCCCCTGTCTTCATTATAGAATCAAATCAGATGGTTATCTTTATTTGAGGAGTTTATGCCTGCGCAATACCCCTAACATATTGCTTTGTAGTATTTAAACATAAACATTATAGTGAGCCTAAATAGAACTGAATTTTCTTAGAAAATAAAGTATGGGCATTTATAAAATGAGAGAAATATATTTAGTAAGTATTTGTATCTGTGGTTTAATACTATTGTTGGTTAACTAGTAAACAAGGATCTTCTGATGAAATTATCTTGCTACACTTTGACACTCAAAATATAAAAGGAATACTTTTATTTCAAAATATCCTTTCTCCAATGTTTTGTGATAAAATTTTCTTCCATATTTCATCCAGAATTAAACTTGAAGTTTTCTTTACTGCTAATTTTGTCATTTTCAAAAAATATTTCTGTAAAACATCTTAATAAAAGAATTTAATTTTTTGAAGATTTGGTATCTTTTCTTACACTTAAAGGTAAGAATATTCCTTAGAAATAAAAGAATTATTGTCAGCTAAAGCACAAATGTTGCTTTGGAATTGTTTTTTTTTTAGTATCAGGAATTGAACTTGGGTCCTTCCACTTGTGATGCAGGTGGCGGAACCACTGAGCTAAATCCCCAGTCCTTGCTTTGGAATTTTTAATACTTCTTTTTAGATGTTAATAGGTACATCTTTGGATCTTTGGCAGTAGGGAAAATTTTATTTATTTAATTTTTTTTTTTTTTCCATACCAGGGATCGAACTCGGCACCTGGAAGACAGGTGGCAGAACCACTGAGCTAAATCCCTGGCCCCAAAATTAATTTTTCTATTGGTGAATGTTGCATTTAGGCTGTGAATCAGTTTAACTCACCTGAGACTATATAGTAGATAAGTCACTTCAACATATTTAAAATATGTAGTTTGTGTGTGTGTGGTACTGGGGGTTTAATGCACTCTAGCACTGAACTACACCCCTTTATATATCCTCTAAAGTATGAACAGTTGTCACATATATCAATAGTTGGAAAAAGCCGAAAGAATATTGTGCAACATACGAAGTGTTGCTCATAATAGGTCAAAGGTGGAGGCCATCTAAATGTGCATCAGTAGATGGATGGATAAAATGTGATAGATCCATTCATGAGCTATTAGCCACAAAAAGAAGGAAATTTTTATTATTATCTCGTTTTTTGGTACTGGGGATCAAACTCAGGACCTTGTGCTTGCAAGGGAGGTGACAGCACCACTGAGCTAAATCCCTGGCCCAGAAGGAAATATTTATACCTGCTATGATTTCGATGAATCTTAAAACCATGCTGAAGTACAGTTGTGAAAGACCACATATTATATGATTCCATTTATATGCAATGCCAAGAATAGTAGTCTATGGAGAAAAACAAATTGGTGGTTGCTGAGAGCTGAAAGGCAGTAGAGGATGGGAAGATTAGTGAGTGATAGCTGAAGTGTGTGAGATCCTTTTTGAAGTTAAGGAAAATATTCTATGATGCACTGTGGTGATGATTGTACAACTCTGAACATATTAGAAATCTGTGAATTGTACTGTTTAAAATATTTACATTTATTTTTAACTGATACATAAATGTACAAAAAATTGTACATTTGTGGGGTACCATGCATTGTTTCCATATGTGTATACATTATGTTTAGATCAGGGTAAACATATCTGTCTCCTCAAACATTTATCAATTTATTATGGTGAAAACATTCAAAGTTTCTTCTAGGGTGTATTATCATGATCTATGGTTATCCCATTTTGCAGCAACACTCCAGAACTTTTTTTTTTCCATTAAGTTTATTGGTATATTTTAGGTATAAAATACAGTTATATTCATCATTGGGATCTTGTACCTTTACATGATGTATCTTGGTTCTTATTTTGTCCCCATTCCCCTGCCCTCCCTTCACTCCCTCCACCCTTCCCTATTTGCAAAGACTTTGTTTCCATTTTTTTCCTTTTCTCATATATTTTCTTTTCCCTTTCCTTTCCCCTACCCCCCCACTTCCTCTACTCCTTTAGACCTTTTCTTCCTGTTACACAATATCAATTATACATTTTAAAAATTACTATATCAAGATCTAGGAGACATTACCACAGATTTTACACAATTTAAAAGGATATAGAAAGCATATTACAAAAATCTTTTTTGAAATAAATGTGACAACTTCTAAGAAGTACCTTGGAATACAAATTAATGAAACTAACTCTGGAGGAAATATAAAATTTGAATAGCACCTATTAAAGAAAGTATATTCCTAGGTTGAAAACATACC